ATAAATCGCTCAAGCAGAATATTTACCATTACACAGCTATAGTCTCCATATTCTCTCAAATAGAGATTAGAAGCATCCATATGAAGACGATCAGCCAGTTTAGTAGGTGCAACAAATGTTCTAGCTAAGTGCTGGACCCACTAGTTTCTCTAAACACATGGCTACCAATTTATAAATCAAAATCATATTCAATCAAAGTTAAACATTCAATTACATATTTAAATGCCCATTATTTTGTATGGAAAACAATGTTTTCGACAATATAGTCAGCCCTTGAAGAGTGATACGTAGTCCTATCGCTTGAATGGTAAATTGTACTTTAAGGCAGTATTTTTTTCGCAATCTGCATTTATACAATTAATCACGGCTTACAAGGGCAATGTTGTAATTTACCACGTTTAAATGAGGGCATGAATGAAAAACCAGTTTTCAACGGAATCTTAGTCCTGAACCAAAAGTTATTGTATGTCAAGTGGTAGGAAATTTTTTATCAATATAACACTTTTAAAAAATTTTGACTCTTTAAAATGCCAAAAAAAGGGCATTTATAATTACTACTCATGCGTAAGATTGGACACACCAATATTCATCTTTATAAATTTGCCAAACAGATGCTAACTGGCCAACAAGAAGCAAATCCATCAAAATGAGTAATTATTCATGTTCCAAACCAGAAGCTTTACAGGAAGCTCATGCCCCGTGGGAGAGTTGATGAAAGACAGAACTATTTTTGAAGTAACAAACTCTTTTTTTTGCTCGTACACACACAGCAAGAAATCAAAACAAGTGTACTAATGGTATTTCAATGTGCAAAGAACGGTGCTGAAGATGCAAACAAATAATTCCTATTGTGACTAAATAAATTTACCGAGACCAATGGCCATCGGTTATCAACTCTGAAGAGAGGATCATTTGGAATGCTTAGCAGTTAACATAGAGGACAATTCAAACAAAAACCAACCTCAAATTGGCTATATCTAAATTAGAACAGTATATTGAAGAATATCTGTGATCAAGCTTGAAATTCGGAATATAACTTCATAAGCACACTAAAAAAATATGCACTGAAAGCAAAAACAACCCCTAGTTGGCCTTGTTCACTAAAAATATCTGTATATACTTCAGAATATCAGCTGCAGGGATACGAAGCATCAAACATGACAATCCTTCAATGATAAACTCTTATCAATCTAAAATGCCTGTGCGACATTTCGAACCAGTCAAGAAATTAAGCAGATAAGCTTAATTTACCATGGCTCACCTGGTAATCAAAGTAAATACGCCCTAAAAGTGAGATTAGACCTGAACCTGAATAAATGAACATGGGTGAATTCATTGAAGGAAAATCCAGCATAAATAGGTAATAATAAAGCTGAGCGCTGGAATAATATATGGAATTATGATATTGCTGAAACATCCATATGAATTTCAACATATTAATTAATTGTTGTAGTTCATTCAACGAAACAATAAACCATAATCCTAACACTAGAAACAGAGTAAATGGCAACATAATTAACAACCGCGTTAAATGAATGACAAGTTAGAATAATTAATGGTTTTTATTGCATAAAAGACATAAGAACCAAAAGGGTAATTATAATAACGGCATTTTCTGCTTCTACTCTTTTCCTTTTCACATAATCCACAAAAGGATCTCTAAAATTAATGACCAATCTACTAACAAAAGTAGCAATTTTACAGTTCATTCAATGTGCTACTAGAATGTTATTATTGGAACTATTTTCACTCCCACCAATCAAATCCATAACCTGGCCGGGTGAATCCATGCCGGTTCCTGAGAAATTCGGGCCAGAGATGAAAACAGCTCTAGCAGCCATAAGTTTCTTCCTTTGAGGGCAACGCGGGCCGTAGATCCGGCCCGAGAAGAACGAGGGAGAGGACGGAGGTCCGTTGACCTGCGTAGGTGAACCAGGGGAAGTAGCTGAGGGAGAGCGGGATGGAGAAGCACAGATCTGAGCCTGGACTACTGATTTAGTGACTCGGTGAGTTCGGGCGGCGCTGATACGCGAGTCTCTGAGTTGAGCCAACGCGCCGGGCTTCAAGTAGCGGAGGTACGCCTCCCTGTTGCTGGGCGATGAGTGTCTCCTGAGGCGGCGCTCCATTTTTGCGCAGTTACAACTATAGATACAAGTATAAAGCTATACGTATAGAGAGAGAGAGAGAGAGAGAGAGAGATGGGGATGGGGTTTAATAGGTGGGGGTGCGGTAACAGGCGGGAAGACAATGGAGGGAAGATTGTGTAGAGAGAGAAAATTGGGGTTTCAAAATGTAAAAATTGAAAGAGGCGCGGAATGCTACAAAATTTGGACCCTTCTTTATGGAAGTTTGGACAAGTACTTGAGCTTTGTTTGGATAGCTTCAAAAGTAAAATAAAAGTGACTTTAAAGGGTGTCTGGCACCATTAAATTTTTTAAAACTTTATTCTCTTTTTTAGTGTGTTTGATGCATATTAAAATGAGAGAATGCATTTTTTTGAAGTGTTGTGATGGAAAGTATTATTTTTTTGAATAATGTGTGGTTGAAAATGAGTAGAAAAATTAGAATAAAAAAAATAATGTGGCTCAAACATAGGTTTAATTATAACCACATATTTTTCAAATAAAATAATATTACACACAAATCTAAAACTTTTCATTACTTTTCAACCACACATTCTTCCATCAATCACTATTCCAAAATTTATAGGCCCTGTCTGGTTCCAATTGTAAACGGCAGGAAAATTGATTTTCTAACCGTTGAGAGAAGCAACGGTCACAAAATGAGAAAAGTAGCTGCTGAATTGTGTCTAATGTGTCAGAAGAAAACGGTTGAAAAATCAATTTTTCATGGCCAGAATCATGCCCAGACAGGGCCATAATTTTCCAAAAATAGGTGCTAAACACATGCTCAAGTTTTTATTTTAGACATGTTTTTTATTGAGTTGCATTTTTTCTTACTTTTTAATAAAAAATACTTATTTTAATAGTAATTTTTTTAAATTGTAAATAGTAAAGATAATGCAAGCACTGAGTGGACGAACCCAGTGTTAGCCTTGTCGAATATCGTTAAACCATTCGAAGTGCATACCGATACCTCGGACTTTGCACTTGGTAGGGTTCTTATGCAAGAAGGACATCCGGTAGCTTATGAGAGCCGAAAGCTGAATCAAGCAGAACATCGTTATTCGGCACACGAAAATGAGCTACTGGTAATAGTCCATTGCCTTAGGGGATGGCGCCACTATTTGCTTGGGTCTCCATTTATTGTGAAAACAGATAACACTGCGGTTAGTCACTTTATGTCCCAATCGAAACTATCAAGCAAACAGGCTTGTTGGAAGGAACTTCTTTGAATTTAATGTTGGAGATCTGGTAATGGTTAAACTCCCTGACAGAAAGGTTTATAAACCGATAAGAGTGAAAGACTCAAGATTGGTGCCAAAATATATTGGACCATTACCCATCGTGAAGAGGATTGGAAGAATCGCATATAGAGTCGCACTCCTTTCATGGTGTAAAATCCACAAGGTCTTTCATGTTAGAATACTCAAGTCATACGTTGCCGACAAGGAGGACGTATCTAAAAATGAGCCAATGCGACCTGTGTTTGAACTAAGAAAAGTCGGAAAGAAGGTTGCAGAAGCTATACTGGATCATCGTACAACTCGAGCTTCCAAAAAAATCATCAAGAATACATGGTCAAATGGAGTGGATGCAGCAGCGAAGAGAATACTTGGGAAAGAGAAAAAGACCTTGGAGCCTTCAAATCATTAATTGAAGAGTATCATGCATTGAGGACACCGAGGATAGCCAAAACAAATGGGGGAGAATGTCAAGAACCGCAACTTCAACTAGCCCCTTGAACCAATCGCAGCCGCAGTTTGCCCAATTTCGACCGNACTTCGGCTGCACATTGTAAATATTTCATTTAATTGTAAAATAGTTAGAAGTTAGAAAATTTTAGTATGATTCCTCGGGCAAAAGACGTCTACTGGTGGCATTTGGGTCTTTGTTGCTAAATCAATTATAGGGGGTATTAATCTTTCAAACTATCTTTCAAACTTTCTGTTGTTCGCCCTCTACACCAGCCATTGTAATTTCCTGCTTTCATCAATTGTAATTTATAGCTTTCGAGTAATCAATGATCAATTTACATTCAATGCATTTCAATTTCATGTTGCAAGTTTTTTAAAAATTGTAATCAAATTTTCTTTCGTCCTAAAACGACTGAGAGAAGGTAGAAAGTAGTCTAGTAGAGCAGACTATTGCCGGATGGTGTCCTTTTCTGTGTCAAGAAGAAAGGCACCCCGTGAAACGTGAGTTCTTTTAAACTTTGTAGTTTTACAAGGGAATGAAAATGAATTCCATGTCCTTGTGTCTAGGCGATGGTGTGGGTGAAATATCATTATCTGACAGAGCCACCATTGCAAACATGTCTTTCGAGTATGGTGCTACAATGGGGTTCTTCCCTGTAGATCATGTCACTCTACAATATCTCAAATTAATTGGGAAAAGTGATGAGACTATAAGTACCTTTTATAATGAATATAAATGATTTATCACATTATGCTACTCTATGCCTTTAAACCTAATTACTCTCAACTCTATGCTAATTAGGTGGCAATGATAGAAGCATATCTACGTGCAAACAATATGTTTGTTGACTACACTGAGGTACGACTTATTATTATTTTATAATCGGCACTTCTTACTGTCATTTATCATAGTTTTGACACGGGACTCGTGGCTTTATTTTCCTACCAATTCAGCCTCAACAAGAAAGAGTATTCTCATCTTACTTGGACGTAAACCTAGAAGATGTTTAACCATGTATTTCAGGGCCAAAGAGGTGTGTGATGTGGCTTATGCATTTAAATTGATTGTAAATTACAACGTATACTAGTCACCATGCTAACTATTGTTTTATCATTCGTTATAGACCTCATGATCGGGTACCTTTAAAAGAAATGAAGGTTGATTGGCACTCATGCCTTGATAACAAAGTTGGATTCATGGGGAGGATTCACTTTGTCCACCTTATAATGCTTTTAGTTGTTGTTTCTATAAGCTTCGGATGTTAATATCTTTAAAATGACGAGAGAATATTGGATTTTGACCACAATTACTACTGAATAGAATCTTTTTATACCGGAGCTGAACTCACTGCATTATTTGTAGCCAGTCTTATGGATAGGGTATTGAGTTTGTTGTTATAATACAAGTCAACAGTAGATTGATCTTTTTAAATTGTACACGTGATACTTGTGTAATCTTCTTTCAATAATCATACTCCCCATCTTGAATTAACATGAAAGTTTCATTCAGGGATTTACTGTGCCAAATGAGGTACAAGAAAAAGCCTCAAAATTTTCATTCCATGGACAACCTGCTAAGCTTAAACACGGTAGTATCGTGATTGCTAATATCACGAGCTGTACAAATATGTCAAACCCCAGTGTCATGTTTGGGGCAACCCTAGTTTCCAAAAAAGCTTGTGAGCTTGGTTTATAGGTGGGTAGCGTTCTGATGAGTGGTCAATTGCATTGATGTTTTCTATAATTGATTACTTACTAGACATTATGTCGGGTAAAACCATGGATTAAAACGAGCCTTACACCAAGCTCTGGAGTTGTTACGAAGTATTTGCAGAAGAGGTATAGCTCATGATTTTAGATTTATGACCTGATATTTGTTTTGACATACACATGTGAATATGTATGTTTTGCAATGTGGTGGGCTACAAAAGTATTTAAATGAACAAGGCTTCCATATTGTGGGCTATGGTTGCACAACATGCATAGGAAATTTTGGGGAATTAGATGAATCAGTTACTGCTGTTATATCAGAAAATGGTATACCATAATCTTGTTCTTTGGTTCTCTCATTGATTGTCAATCATTTATGTTAATGGGAGATTGTTTAATATCATGAACTATGGATGCTCTATAGACATTGTTGCAGCTGCTGTACTTTCTGGGAACCTAAACTTTGAGGGCCGTGGCCATTCCTTGACAAGAGTAAACTATATATGCCCTTGCTGGCACGGTTAGTAACTATTTCAAACCATGTGTTATAATGAATATCTTGATAATTAAACTAGTGTCGGGCATTTGAAATATTCTAAACATTTGATTGGAACAAGTAGAATGAACCCATTAACACCTGAACAACACTTTTATCTATAAAAATGAATTCAAGTGTCAAATTCCATGAAGGGAATTGGCACAATGATGCAAACAACCCATGGATGGAATTAATTGAGTTGCCCATCTGACTGTTTTTATGGTTTATTAACTTGGTGCAAAAACGTGTTTTGGAGAAATGCCTAAAGTCATGTTTTAACTTACCTGATTAATGAACTCCTAGGATATAGCCATGTGTCACCTCCTATGATGTTGGATTGGATACCATTGGGTGACCCTTATAAGAGGCTTCTAGGGTTTGCACTTTGGATATCGCGTCAGATATTTTTCCTTTCCTTGTTTCTGCGTCGTTCGAGAGTCTTTTTCTCCTTCTCTTTGTTGAAATCAAAATACTCTTTTGATTTCGTTTTCTCTCTCAAATGTTGTAATCTTATGTGATTTCCTTTGAGCTGAGTTGTTGTTCTTGTGTGAACTGTTATTAAGTGAAGGCTAAGATCTTTGTGAAATACGGGTTTAGACTGAGTGCTCAAACCTCTTGTAATCCTTATCTTGGTTGTGATTTGTATTAGAATGGTGGTTGTTCTTCTGAGGCACTAATCGACTGTGTTTTGGCCTGAGGACTTTGATGAATAAGATTTCATACTTTTACAGTTTACTTTTGTTTTCTTTTGTGCATATTTTTGTTGATTTGTAAGCTAACTTTTGTGAATATCCTCCCAACAATGGTATCAGAGTGTTTGAAGGAGGTTCTTGATATTGTGTGTGATCGATCTTGACGCTGTGACTACTTATTGAGCTGCATTTCGTGTTTCTTGAAATCCTAATAAAAGGATCTGATGAGATCCTTCACGTTTTACGTTTAAAAGTGTTAATCAAGTTTTTTTTTACCCATTTAAATTTTCTGCCTTGTATTTGTAAAAACTTGATTTTTGGCCTGTTGGTAATTCCTTTGTCTAGTAACCCTGAGAGTTGTCTGGAATC